TGGGCAGTAGCGCCATCTGGAGGTTGAGAAGGACATGGCTCTAGAAGATGACTAACCCAGCAACTTGTTGAGGTCTTAGTCACTGCCCAAGACCAGTTGAAAGTGGCAAGGGACAGTGCGTTGGCTCATAACCTCAGCCAGGTACACAGCCAGGTGAGTATATTCATGATTAACAGGTATTCCCCAAACTGAATACTTGGAATTATCCCTTTATTGACAACTGGGAAGTATTTACATTCTGGGCACTGCCCATTTTAAAATGGGAAGAGAGATAGGGTAGACATAGGCATATTTTCAGGTAGTTTAAGGAAATAAGTGGAATTTATGAAAGTTGGAGAAGACCTGGGGAAATGTATTCATGTACTTTCAGCACTCAGAAGTCCATGGAGAAAGCAAAGTAAAAGATCCAAAGATAAAAATGTGCCGAAACTAGGAGATGGATAATAAGATTCCAGCACACAGAAAAATAGATGAGGGATTCTTAACAAATAGAACTTAATTAAAACAAAATTGAAAGAAACTCGAAGACCACTAGCTGAGACCAAATTATTCATGATACCCAAAGTAACATTAATTGAATGTGAGTAACATCTGGGTGAAATTATGGATTCCAGAGAAAGGAGAGGCTCCTATAGCACCTAACCCAACACCCCTCTCAGAAAATTAGTTGGCTGACCAGACTTCCTTATCATATTAGATAGCAGAAAGAGACTAGCAGGAATTCAATAAGAATTCAATAGCTATTAGTGTTAATAGCTAAATAATGTTTTAATATATTAAGACTATAATCCGGTATGGCATACTAAGAAATTCTCTGCTATTCTGAGACTCAAGGATTATCTAACTACTTTTTCAAAATAATCTCCATTAAAATATATTAGGAAGGGGAGGGTGGGTGATCAGGAAAAAAAAAAATGTCCATGCCCAGGGGTAGGCTAAGGTAGGTGAGGAGTGGCTAGGTTGCAAAATTAAAGAGGTACCCACTCTCATGTGACAGATCTGTGTTTCCAAGAGATCAGTATTGCTTTGCTCTAGTTGCCTTGAATGCCATTCAAATAACAATAACAATTATGTACTCAAAAGACTGCAATTCTTTTAAGGAAAGTATCCAATGCTACAATAAGATCTTCACTGCAACAGGCTAGAGCAAAGTTTCTGAGAGTTGTATGCTAGGGTGCTCCTTGAATATAAAGGAAGAATCAACAGTTGCCTTTTACTTCATAGGTTATTAACTTGAGAAGGAAACATTAATAAAACTAACACAACAGAACATAATCTTCCCAGAAAAGTGAACCTTCTCTAACTCTTAACCACTCTGAAATATCAGTAAATTGAAAGAAATGAACCAAGCTTCCCAAATAAAGTGAATAAGCAAAGCAAAAGGAAGTAGGAGGTAAGACTTATAAAATATAAAGCAAATAGACTCTATAATAAGAAGACAGGCTATCATTAAAATAAATAAATCACTAAGGGGTCCAACAAAAAAGCAGAAAAAAGTATACACACATCGTGTCAGAAGTATAAAGAAAGCTCAAACCTTAGATGAAGGATGGTAAATATATAAAAATAATTTAATAAAACATTTAAGTATTTTTGCAAAGTAGTTTAAATGGCTAGTCTTCCAAGATAACAAAAATTGTCCAAATTAATGGAAGAAAATAAAGAAACCCTTAAAAGTTTATAACCAAGAAGAAAATTGAGAAAATTGTCAAAGACTTTTTGTTTTGTTTTGTTTTGTTTGTTTGTTTTATTTAAATTTTATTTTTATACTCCCCATACAATTACAACCCCCTTATTTTGACCCCAATCTCTCCTTTCCCTACCCCCACACCCCATAGAGTGTCTCTGGTTCATAGTTGTTTGTTGATTTTGCTATTTTCTTTCTTATAGTTATTCTTTTTCCTGGTCCCTAATTTAAGTTTTCTAGATTCCTGCTATGAGTGAGACCATCCGGTATTTTTCTTTTTCTTTCTGGTTTATTTTGCTGAGCATGATCCCTTCCAGCGCCATCCACGTTGCTGCAAATTGCATGTGTTTATATTTTTTGAATGCTGAGTAATATTCCATGGTGTATATGTACCACATCTCAGAGTGACTTGAAGCCTACATAGTTTTACAAAACAATGCTTGAAGATTTCAACTAATAATAGAAATCATATTTTCCGTTCTAGTTCATTTTTTTCAGAGTATTGGAGAATAAGTAGTTTCCCTTCCTTTTCCTGAAATCAACATACATCTCACATTGAGACATGATATTAATGCAGTCAAGAGAACATAATTATACAACAGCTCAAATCCTACATAAGCCATTAGAGAATCAAATCCTGTGAAATAGCAAAAGAATTTTCAAGGATCAATTAGCTTAACATTAAGAAATGTTAGTATAATTCATAATGTTTAACAGACCAAAGGGAAAAAAGCAGACATGGTTTTTTGGGACGCCTGAGCTCATCACACGGTTTGCTACTTAAAAACTTAAATTTTGATTCAAAGCTGACCACAAAATCTGCTGCTCCTGCTCAGATGTGGGAGGTGTAGCAGTCATGGAGGAGAAAGAGGATCAGGAAGAATATAAATGCACCTAATCAAAGAGAGAAGAAAAGCTTTGTCATGGTGTTACAGGGCAGGAAGAGGGGCACCCCAGACCACCCTGTTACAATGGGTAAGACAGTGGATTTGTTTTCAGTAGAAATTTTACTTTTTACATACATTAGAGTGATAACGCATAAATGTAAAAGTGAAAACACCCTTGTTTAGCACCCAAGCCAAAGAATGTGCTGTTAACCAGAACCTCGTTAACCTGAACCCCTTCTGTCATTACTTCCACCCCTTTCCAAGGGGAACCTCCAATGCCATTTCTAATAGGATAGATTAGTTTTTCTGTCTGTTGTTGAAAACTCTATGCAAAGTTTTAAAATAAGGAATTTGTTTTCTTGCAGTCAGCATTGTGTTTATTCTCATTGCTGTGTGAATAAACCATAATTTATTTATGCATCTTCTCTTGACAATTTGTTTCCTGTGGAGCAATCCTAAACACTGCTGCTAGGAACATGACTTTACCTCTATTTATGCATGCATATGTACATTTCCAAGTGAAGTGTCTAAATTTAGCTTTAGGATATACTGTCAAGCAGCTCCCTGAAGTTCCAGTTTATACTCACACTCACAGTAAGTTCCCATAGAGCCTTGCCAACGTTTGCTGTTTTTCATTTTCTTTCATTTTATTCAAGCTGTGTAGGGTCTGGTGGCATCTCATTGAGCATTTGATCTTCATTGTTTTAACTTCTAATGAATTTGAGCTCTTTATTGTCACTTTGAATTTTTCCTTTTTAGGTTTCAGTTGAAGACATTTTCCCATTTTTTTTCCTATTTTTTTCTATTTTTCTAAGGAAGGAATGTTTTTTTTAGTTCCCACACCCACCCCTCCTCCAGCCTGCCATGCCTCCCCCAGTTTAATTTGCCTATCCATTATACTACTCCTCTCGTTCTTCCTTTTGTTTTCTACAAACTCTCCTTCCTTTCTCTGTTGTAAATACTCAGAGGCAGAGCCTGTGTGTTCCCACCTCAATAGCACTCTCAGGGCCTGACCATCTGTTTCATCTAAACCACCTCAAAAATAGCTCTTGACTTGAACTAGAAGAGTCTCTTCATCTGCTAAATTAGCATATGTTTCTGGTCCCCGAGGAGGTTCTGCTAGTCTTCTAAATCCGGTGGGAATTTCTAGAACGGTTACAGCAAAACATCAGATTTTTGTGTAGAGACAACCTAGAGGATATGTTTGAAGTGTTAGGAGCCAGAATTAATTCCGTGTTGGGGTGGATGACAACTATAGCAGAATCTTGGGAAAATTAGAAAGATTTGGAAGTCAAATGATCTTTTTTAGACCCTAAAAAGGAACTTCTGTGATGTTTTGTTCCCCATCCTATTATACCGTCAGGATTCATCTCCCTCATCTAAATCAACATCTCATTTGAAAGTAAATCTGCTGTCTCCCTCCATTTTTTTTAATAGATTTATTTATTTATACAAGCACTGGGTACAGTTAGAAGTGTGGGAAGGTGAGAGAATTCACCAGAGCCAGAGTGGGGAACAGAACAGGCAGACTGACGAAGTACACAGCTGAGGGGAGCAGCGGACGACAGGAGAGGTCTGAGTGCCATGTGGGACCCTTGCTGGTGGCCGGGGATCGAACCAGCACTGCAGAGGCTGCAGGCAGCTATGCAACCCAGCGCTCAACCGCTGCGCCACCAGGGGAGGCACTCCCTCCATTTTTTATGATATAGACCGGATTATCTCATTGCCCCTTCTGCAAGTGCCCACACTGCCTCCTTTCACATCCATTCTTTTCACTCTTTTGAATGAGTTAACTTCATTCATTTCATCTTTTTCTGGTCACTTCCTAGTTATTAATCTGTTGGAATTTAGCCAAGATAAGTAAACATTTATTTTGCCTCCTGAAAATAATCCTAAACTAAATAATTTGAAAATGGTCTATTTAATTTTAGCATGGAATTTTAATAGAATTTAACCACATAAATAAACATCCATGTTTCACAATGTAGAAAAACAATACAAATGTTGATTAATTCAAGCTATGGGTTACAACTTTGAAATTATATTCCTTGCTGAGCTTTAAAACATATGGCTGCAATTCCTCGCAGATCTTGTCTATATCCATAATCACTCCCATGAAAGTACTTATCAGTGACTATTTTCACATAGATTTTTATTCATCCAGTACTTTCCAAAGAGGAAAATTCAAAGGTAATAGGAATTGACATTTCCAGTTTGTCCAGCAAATGTCAACCCTGGACATGTGTTAGAAATCCAGGGGACAGTCTAAAAGACCAATTCACTCAGAAACCTTGGAGTAGGGCCCATTCATCAGCATGTTTGAGGTTCCCCAGAGGAATCTAACACACAACCAGAGTTGAGAATTGCTGAGTCCATGGTGAAGAACGTGAAGAATGTAAGTTAAAAATGTTGAAAAGGCAGTGGTCAATACTATATGTAAGTTTGCAACTCTGTATCCTCAAAGACGGGTAAGAGGCCTCTCCTTGGCCCAGCTCTGGATTTCTGCTTGTCCAAAGGTGAGATAAAAAACCAGGCCAAGCATGTTGACAGCAGCAGACAGGAAAAAGACATTCCTCCATCCAGACACAGAATCCTGCAAGCATTAAAAACAAACACGAATTATCAATCTCACATTCCTTCTCCACAAAGAATATAGGGAACAGTAAGAAATAACTACTTAACACTTAAGTTATTAAAGGTTTTATGAATCTCTTAGAAAGAAAATGACTCTAAGAGAGGCATGCACATGTACATATGGTTCTGGACTGCAATGGAGTTTTTTTTTTTAAAACACAAATAAAGTAACTTACACTAATGCATTTCTAGAAATTTGAATCTCAGTATTCATAACACTACTGTATTGCTCATTTAAAATTATACCTTAAAAGACAACTTTAAGAGCTCATTGTTGTGTTCTCTCTGTCTCACTTTGTTTTGTTGGGCTTTGAAATCAATCATAACAACCCCTCAGATGGACATCCCAGCAGGATGTCAGTTATATTTGGTCTGCTTCTAGGGTCCTCCTCACCATACCCTCCTATGTCCTAGTTCAGTTCTGACTTCATGATCCTAGTTGATTCCTAACAGTTTGGTCAAAAATTAATCCAGAAACTAGACAGATCACATCGAGATATATTAAAAATGAAACAACACATTTTTATAAATCAACTGTCATCATCACTCCACCCTGGAAGAGGTTTGCCTTTTCTTCTTCCAACCAGCCCAGGCTCCCTAGCGAATCCCAGGCTGTGACATATCTCACAGTCATTCTCTTTCACCCATATTTCAACCCCTCTTTAAACTGACCTTGGGGCACTTGTATTTCTATTTGGTGATTTTTGGGGGACTTGGAATTAATCTGAAAAGACTCTTCATAATCTTCCCCTTCTGTTCCTCTTACCATTCCCTGACGAGTTTCATTCACTCCAGCCACTCTGTTTCATGCTTTCTCACCTCTAGAAAATCCTCCATGCTGTTTTCTCTGCACAAACTACTCATTTTCATCAACCTAACATCTGTTCATTTTTAGAAACACAGCTTAGATTTTTCTTTCTCTGGGACACCTTCTCACCAGAGTCAGATTTAGAGTCCCTTTGAGGCGCAGCAGACCTCTCCTGTCTCACCCGCTGCTCCCATCAGTGTATTTCAGTCAGTGTATTTCAGTCAGTCTGCCTTTTCTATTCCCCACTCTGTCTCTGGTGAATCCTCTCAACCCCCCCACCCCCACATCTCTGGCCTGTACCCCAGCTCTTGTATGCATAAATAAATAAATCTTTAAAAAAATAGTGTTCCTTTGAGTGATTTGTCAACATCCACGCCTGTTTTCTCAGCAAATCATGCAGTCCTCAGGAACAGAGGCTCCTCCTGTGTGTATCCTCAGTGCCTAAAAGAATACCTGACGCTCATAGATGTTCAATAAACTGGCCCAACCTGACTGATAAGGAATCCGGTGGCAGTGGAAGAGATGATTCCAGCGAGGAGCCCAAATCCCCTTGAGAGTCCCATGAGGAAACTTGCATATCTGTGGAGAGATATTTACACAGAAGGCTTTATACAGAAAGCTGCCTATGATTTTTCAGCAACTCAATATTAATCCAGTTCAACTCCAATGGCAAAATTATTTTGCTTCATGAAGTTTTTCCTCCACCTACAGACATATGTATTTGCCAATCTGCTGAGTCAACAACCAGGGAACAATTCAGTCTCCCAGGAGCTGAGATTCCCACCCCTGCTGGTAAATACAGCGGGTACTTTGTTCAGTAGACAGGACAACAGACCCTGAACAAACTGCCTGGGGACAAATCCGAACTCTGCCTCTGTGTGATCTTAAGCATGTCATTTCATCTTCTTTTTTTTTTTTTTTTTAAGGATGGGGAGCTTTTTTTTTTTTTAAGATTTATTTATTTATTTATTCATACAAGCACTGGGTACAGTCAGAAGCGCGGGAGGGTGAGGGAATTCACCAGAACCAGAGCAGGGAGCAGAACAGGCAGACTGAGGTACACTGCTGAGGGGAGCAGCGGGCTGCAGGAGAGGTCTGCGTGCCATGCGGGACCCTCCTCCAGTGGTCGGGGAGCAGCCAGGGATTGAACCGGTGCTGCAGAGGCTACGGGCAGCTTCACAACCCAGCGCTCAACCGCTGTGCCACTGGGGAGGCCCCCATTTCATCTTCTTGTACCTCAGTCTTTTGAGGGTAACAGTAGGATCCATTCTATTGAGGGTAATCTATTGAGGGTAACAGTAGGATCCATTCTCAGATAGTTGTCAAGATTGATAAATTCATGTATAAGTTCTTCAAATAAGGTCTGGCTTGCGGCAAGCTCATACCTATGTGCTTGTTTATATGCACCCCAGAAGCTTCTCCAAAACACATGTGTGTGGGTCCTGACACAGAACACATAGTCCAGTCTTCCTAGGTAGAGGTTTAGGCAGATTTTACTAGCTAGGTTTGGGAACTATTGTTCCAAATATGCTTTAGGTCACAGCCAAATACTGACATTTCTAGAGATTTGTCATTATTCTGCCATCATTTGTGCATGTCAACAACATGAAGGAGTTGCAAGAAAACTGGAAACTGACACCTCTGGAACTGCTTGGAAAAGGTCAGTAGACAGGAAAAGATGTTACCTGGGGGCCACATCTAAGGTGTTGATGATGAACCCCGAGTCGCACAGGTTGCTGGTCCCAGGAATAAGTATCAGCAAAATAATGGTTGTTATGTAACTGGAGGCCACAAAGGGCAGGGCCACAGCACAGAGTGATGGAAGGAGGAGTCCTGGGCAACAGAGACACACCATCAGGCATGACATCTCACATGTGGGAAAAGGGGCTGGTTAACCCATACGCCCATCCTTACCAAGGGACGAGAAGAGCTTTCGTACAGTGATCAATCTGAGAAGATTCCTGGACAGAAGGAAATCTGCCAACTGACCTCCTAGAATTGTACAACTTGAAGCAGCAATAAAAGGCAGGGAAGACAGAAGCCCACTCTGAAGGAAGGAAACCGGTACAGTGAGTACAGAAGCCAGGGAGAGCGCACCAACATTTATCCATTATGCAGACCAACCGCTCATCCACCCTCCTGCCATTCTGTGTTTAAGGAATTAACATCCCTTTCCATGTGAGAACATTGGCTGAGGAAAGAGGCCTAGCACTTGTATCACACTAGTGAGAAAAACAATATTAATTTTTAAGGGAAATTTCAGAATCACCTAGCGTGGCAGGGCAGCATAGTAGCTAGGGGCAGAGATGCTGCTGCATCTCTACACCACTCATATAACCCAGTCCTCTCGCCTCTGTGTGTCCCCAATCCTATGCATGTGCAATGGGAATCATTGCAGTTCCTCCATCAAGGCCACAGTGAAGGTTAAATGAATAATTATGTGCAAAACCAGCTGTAATGGGCAGCATAGAACTATTTCTCTCTATTGTCATGATCATTTTCATTGAAGTTCCAGAAGCATACTCACATCTCTGATGTTAACATGGAGCACAGAACTGATGTAGGTCGGTAGGTATGTTATAATTATGGTGCATAACCAGAAATGGCTGAAAAACCCCGTGAAAATGGCCCAAAGTGGTAGGCATCTGACCATAGCTTTTATGGGGACAGATCTTCTAGGAGAACTGGACTGAAAGGAAACATCTAATTAACACAACTATTGGAACAAGCCAGAGGGTGCTTCTCTGGGGGGATACACAGCTACCCTGGAAGTCTCTACACGGTGGGGAGGGGGTGTACTGTACCTGCTGAGCCACTGAGGATACAATGTGCTCCTTTTCCCTGACACTTATGCAAGGATGATGCACAGGGTCATCATAAATCACCGTGAACCACAGGAGGCAGCAGACACAGCCAATGCTACCTGGGAAACCGGCACCCAATTAGTTTTTCAGTAGATTTGTGAAGGGGGTTTCCTTTGAAGTAGCAAACCTTCCCCCCAAAACATATTAATTGATAGTCATTTCACCATAAGAACCTAAATGTTGGGCCTCCCTGGTGGTACAGATGGTTGAGAACAGTGCTGTGAAGCTGTCCACAGCCTCTGCAGCACAGGTTCGATCGCAGCTGGCCAGGGAGCTACCCACATGGCGCAGCAGACCTCTCCTGCCTCACCCACTGCTCCCCTCAGCAGTGTACTTCATCAGTCTGCCTGTTCTGTTCCCTGCTCTGTCTCTAGTGAGTTTTCTCACCCTCCCACACATCTGGCCTGTACCCCGGTTCTTGTATGCATAAATAAAATAAATAAATCTTTAAAAAAAAAAAGGAACCTAAATGTTGATACATCTTTTCAATTTCTCTGCAAATTTCCTTCTAAATAAAGCTCTGCAGGTACCACCTCTCCAATATGGAGTGCCTCCTGAGAGAACATGTGCATAAGCAGACCTTGTGCAGCTGTTGAATTACTCATAAAACTTCCATAATTATAGTCAGATGTGTCATTCACAGCAATTTCTTAACAGGTACATCATTGCCTTGTCTGGAGAGATGGAACAGTCAGGACTGAAGAAGAGTATGGTCACACAAGCATGACACAACCCACCATAAAATCAATGCTGAGGAGAAGTTTCCAGCACATTTGCAAAAATCAGTGTTTTTTGCATTAAAAAAAACACAACCATTGTGAATTTCCAAAAAGATACTTCTTGAAGGTATCTGGTTAACAAATGTGGGCCCAAATCACCAGGGACTGGCAATGTTAATGACACCATTTCAATGGAATAAGACAGAAACATGTCTCATTACTGTGGTTTATCATTTGAATAAGATTCTATGTTAAACAACTTTGGGTTGAAAGTTCTTTAAATTCCCTTATCCATTCATTTATATAAAACTGTAAGTGAGGCACTATGATGGTACCAAAGTAAAACAAAAAAAGAAACATAGACTGAATTTCTTATCTCAGACATTTCACAGTGGAGAGGGAGAAAAAGAAGTAAATAATTGCACACCAGCATAGTCTAAAGAAGAAATATACAAAAGCATCATAGAACCCAGCTGGAATTAAGTCCCAGAAGTCCCTATAAAGTAGGATACATTTAAACTCGGCTTTGCAAGATTTACCTGGTGGAGAATAAGTTAAGGAATCTTAGCAAAAATAATCATTAAAAAGAAATAAGAAAGATAGAGAAAAATATACTCTATCAACTTGGACATCTTAAACATATACAGCAATTAGAATTGACATTTCAGATGCAGTGGTTGAGATTCTACAGAAGATCCCTTCTGTAGAAGGGTGGAAGGGTAAAGCTGCACCCCTGATCCTCAGAAGTCAGTACACTGTACACAGTCATCTCATGGACTAGAATGAGGATGCTGCTCCCAATCCTCAACATTCTCCATCATCTTCCATGTGACAGGCTATGTTCTCTCATAAAGGAAGAATGTGGTAGATGGGTGATATTGACATCAAAACAAATGCCTGGGAATTGGAGGTGTTTGTATTTGAAAGAAAGTGACTCACCAAAGATATAGAAGATAAAAGGCCAGCCCAAGGCCTGTGAGATTAGTCCCCCCACACAGAGAATGATGAAGGATCCAAAGGCTGACCCTGAGGAGAAAGAGAAAAACCACTTAGAAAAACAGCAAAGTTGGGCCTCCCTCGTGGCGCAGGCAGTTGGGCGCCATGCTGGGAAGCTGTCCGCAGCCTCTGCAGTGAGGGTTCGATACCCACAGGCTGCGGAGCAACCCACATGGCGGGGCAGACCTTTCCTGTCTTGCCCACTGCTCCCCTCAGCAGTGTATTTCAGTCGTTCTGCCTGTTCTGCTCCTCACTCTGTCTCTGGTGAATCTGCTCACCCTCCTGCGCATCTGGCTTGTACCCCGGTTCTTGTATAAATAAAATAAATCTTTAAAAAAAAGAAAAATAGCAAAGTTGAAAACTAAGTGACCTCCCTGGACACTGTCCAGTGGAGAGAGACCAACTCAGAATTACTGGGCAATGAGTCTTTTTCCCCCTCTCACATCTGCCCTCCAGTGAAGTCATGTGAAATCACTAGAATTAATAAGAATTAGATGCCATGTGACACTTCAATGGCTCCTTAACACAGATATGATCAAATCCAAATCCCTTACTTTGTCAATGACACTCTGCAGCCACAGTCCTGAAACATGGGGTTACATTCTGGCAGGAGGCAATGTGAGGTGGGAGTTTATACAAAGCTATAATCCATATATATATATGAATTTTTATTATATATGGATCTATATCATATATTATGTGGACCATATATATGATTACATATAACATATATGAAAATGGTATATATGAAAGTAATATGGCATAAAGTTCCATATTATTAACTGCACATTCTATTTTTTAATACATAAGTATGTGTACATATTTGTACGCATATATCTATATATACCCCCTTACCTGATCCTGCAATGCTAGTGAGCTTGCTTCGTTCAAGCGGGGGAGCCCATTTTGCCCAAATTGTAAACTGACCTGTCCATGCCATTCCCTGAAATGGAAATCATTAAGATGTTTGATCTCTATTAGAATAGAAGTCCACAGTCCACTCAGAAAAAAAAAAGGGTGTGATACCTGAGCCATGCCCTGGACTGTCCGAATCACAATCACCAGGATCACTCCAAAGTCAGCAGCCAGCGGTGTGAAGAGAGTGAGAAGGGAGGAGATCAGCAAACCAGCACCGAGCATCTGTTTTGCTCCAAATATTCCTGCTAAATATCCACTCGGGATCAGGGTCAGTATTATCCCATAGCTGATGGAGCTAAAGATGATGCCCTGAGTCTCTGGGCTCCATTCATAAACAGAGGCCTGAGGAAAAAAAGTAAAATCCTTTGCTAAAAAGTTCCTCTACAATCATCGACTTTATAGCCAGAGTTGACAGAGGTTGGTGGTAGCCAATTGTAAAATATTCACTTTGTTTTTTCTCAAGTTTTCACCTAATGTAAATATTCCACCTTCACAACCAACCAGTTATACTTTAAATTTGCTTCACTTAGAGAGTGAAGCAGAGGAAATAGAGAAGATACAAAGAAATAATTACATAGATATGTATGTAAATGAACTGGAGATATTGAGATGAAATCCAAATGAAAGGATAGAGATATCTTTATTATAATTATCAAAGGCAGTCACTATAGAGATAATCAAAGCCATTAAGAGATATCTTATCTGTGAAAGAGATTCTTTAAACTATTTTGCTTATGGCAAAGTTGGGTGACACGTTGGCTCTCATTTCAAAGAATAAGAAAAAGACTTTACTGAACTTTCACCAAAATCAATCCCTAAAATCGATTTTGGGAATTACAGTCTGCTCTGGCAGAGCTGACTTTCTAAAATAAATATCACACATGAATAAGATCACATTCTTCTTCTGATGTAACAGCAAAATACTTTTGGTAGCCCTCTAGATGCGTGGCATGCTGTAAATTGAAATACAGAGCCAAAACATAAAGCACGAGACATTTTAGCCACTTAAAATAACTAAAAGTAATGCAAGATATAGGATGCATGTCAGAATTCAAGTCTGAAAATGAATATCAAATAGGCACTTGGAGAACAGAGAACAATTTAAGAAGGCTCCAGGAAGGAAGCAGTGTTTGAGCCATTCTCTGAAGAATAACTATGAATTGTGTGAAAAGAAAAAGGGAAATTTGTTTTTAGTGGCAAAATCAGAAAAAGTGGACATGCAGCATTTTGAATGATACCAAGTGATCTCAATCTAACAGCAACTCTGACTTGCTCAAAGCAAGGGCCTTTGACGGTCCATATGAGTATGGTAAGGAGTGACACTGGATTCTGGAGGAGCACAATGAATCAAGACAGGATTGTGGCATCTTGAAGGTGTCCTGGATTCTTGCGCATATGAGTATGAAAGCATGCAATGAATGATGAAAGAAAGACTGGAAGCAGATGGGCTGGGTCCAAAGTAATAAAAAAAGCAAATGGGCTGGGTCCAAAGTAATAAAATCATAAATATGAGATGACATGAAAATGTACAGTAGGGGCCTCCCTGGTGGCCTAGGGGTTAAGTCTAAGTGCTATTACTGCCACAGGCTGAGTTTGATCCCCAGCCAGGGAGCTAACCCACATATGGCACAGCAGATCTCTCCTGTCTCACCCACTGCTCCCTTTAGCAGTGTATTTCAGTACATCTGCCTGTTCTGCTCCCCACTCTGTCCCTGGTGAATTCTTTCACCCCCTGCACCTCTGGCCCATACCCCAGTTCTTCTATGCAAAAATACATTTTAAATAATAGACAGCAAATGATAGATTAAATGAGAAATTTTCAAATAGGGTATAATCATAATTCTCATACAAATATAAAATGAACACGCAGAAAAGATTTTATTGACTTCATTGACTAATAAAAGAATTGGTGAGATGTGACAACCAGTTCAGAAGAGAATTCAGAGAACCACACATATATTAGCAGAAAGAAATGCTGAAATAGATTTTCAATAGATAAAAAAATTGGTCTATTCAATAGTGACAGGTAGAGGAGATAATTGATTTTCAGCAGGGCAACATTCACTTTCAGAGCTATGAGCAAGAATCATTTGCATTACTGTTTCTTATATAGAACAGAGAGAGTTGTAAAAAGGTTCAAAGACAAAATTGCAGAGATTTACCCAGAATTCGACAGAAAGCTGAGCTTGGAAAGCACCTAGTTTTTCATTAAATGATTCCCAGTAATCTGCTAGGTCTATTTTAGAAGTGTTTATAGACTTTCCTGCAGGTCTCCACCGTGCAATCATAATAATCTCAATGAAATGTTATTTTTATCCCTGAGATAAGTAATAACTCAAAGAAAAATAATTCCCCTTTTAGTTTGTCATTGCAAATTTATGCTTCTATATTCCACAGACTCACGAGCCAAGGTTTTATTTCAAGTTGGTTTTCTCTCTCAACTACGAGCCCTGTTCTCCATTACACTTACCCCCCTATTGAATTTTTTGATGGATTTGCTGGGGTTATTCAAGGTGTCTACAAAAGGCCCTTCTGCGGAGGCATTGGGTAGACCATGCTGGTGGGTGCTGTTCACCATGGCAATAATCGCGATGCTCAGACTCACTCTCTGGGTTATCATGGTGAAATTGGAGAAGTGCATGATGAGCGCCAGCCCATAGCGTAATGAACAGAAATTTGGACCTGCAAAAAAACAAAGAAATCTGCAAATAGGTGGCTGCCATCTTTCATTCCTCCGAAAGTGAATCTAAAAAGCTTTAGAGGTGCTCATGCAATCCCAATGCATTTTGCTCTTTTAGAGATTGCCTTTTCCCCCTTCTTTTTCTTGCTTTCCTTCGCTCCCTCCCTCCAGCCCTCTCCTCTCCCTCTCCCTCCTCCCTCCCCCTCCCTCTCCCTCCCCCCATTCCCTCCCCATGCCTACCCCATTCCCTCCCCATTCCCTCATCTTTCCCTTCTGGGAACCTCAATTCTGCAGTCAGATCTAGGGTTTGTTTGGTTTGGTTTCTCTGTTCCTTTGTTTTGTTTCTTTTAACCCACATAAGTGAAATCATGTGGTATTTGTCTTTCTCCTGACTTATTTTGTCTGTCTTTTTCATCAAAATAGCTATGACTGCACACTTCCTTTACCATAGACTTTAGTTGACTTCAAGGCAGTAAACATGGGCTCTTGCAATAAAGTAAAGGAAAAACAGTCTTCTTTCAGAGACATGAGAAGTCAAGGACAAATACAGAAAATCTCAAATGAAGTCATTAATGTCACATTGTTCTAAAATAAAGTGAATAGGGAAGATGGTGGAGAAGTCACTCACAAAACCTGACTCCCAGCTGAAAATCTCTGGTTCCATCTGTCATACATGTTCATTTACCATGAAGCTTTAGAGTGTATACTTAGAGAAGCTGCCTTGAATTAAACTAATAGCACATCCAGGGATTCTCTCTTACAGTATCTGAGAGAGTGCGTTCATGAACATTCCCACTAACTCTTTAGGGTAATGCCCACTAGGAAATATCTTTGCTGAATGTCACTAGGCCTGGACTTCGCATTTGCACAGCCTTTAAAAAATATATGGGGCCTCCCTGGTGGTGCAAGGGGTTAAGCACAGCACTGTGAAGCTGTCCGTAGCCTCTACAGCATGAGTTCAATCCCTGGCATGCCAGGGAACTACCCACATGGTGCAGCTGACCTCTCCTGTTGCGCCCGCTGCTACCCTCAGTAGTGTATTTCAGTCAGTGTGCCTGTTCTGTTCCCCTCTCTGTCTTTGGTGAATTCTCTCACACCCCCACACTGCTGGCCTGTACCGCAGTTCTTGTATGCATAAATATGCATAAATAAATAAATGTTTTTTAAAAATCGTGGGAAAAAAAAGAAAAAAAAAGGTGCCTGTAAACAAGGGAGGCGGCTTTACCTTTCCTGGTGGAAGTCTTCTTGTCCATTTGGCTTTTCTGGGAAATGGTATCACACCTTGTGGTGGAGTTTCCCTCTGCCCTGAATCTCTTTCACCACGACAGGCTTTTATCTGTGGGGAAAAGCATCATCCAAAACATGACACACAGAATTTTCTCATGTTCATGTTGTCTCCTCTCCAGATCAATAAAAGTTTTGATTCATCACAGCTATGTGATCTCCATTTCACAGTACAAGTCTTTATAGCTATGCTCATTTGAGGACTAGATTTTTATAAGCAATCTGGCTATGAGTCCCAGCTCCATTACTCAGAGCGTGTCACTTAAATTCTCTAACTATCCATTTCCTTGTCTGTTCACAGGATAACTCTCCTTTCTGGGGAGTATTGCAGGAATTAAATGAGAAAATTGCAAGTGCTGTATTAAACCACAGAGAACAATGAAAAGGTAAGGAATATTATACTTATAGCTTATCAGAAGGTACGACAATGAAATTAAGCTCGAGAACTGAGAACAGCCCCAGAGAAGCCCTTTCTGTCATCGTGATGGTATTTCTGTGCCTCTGTAAATTCAGAACAATGGTCTGTGATGTCTTCTTTTGAACACATAGGGCAACATTGCATAACTCGTATACATTTTCTATATAAAACATTTAGGGCCTCCCCGGTGGCACAGCGGTTGAGCGCTGGGTTGCGAAGCTGCCCACAGCCTCTGCAGCGCCACTTCAATCCCTGGCTGCTCCCCGGCCACCGGAGGAGGGTCCTACATGGTGCACAGACCTCTCCTGCCGCCCGCTGCTCCCCTCAGCAGTGTACTTCAGTCCTTCTGCCTGTTCTGCTCCCCGCTCTGGCTCTGGTGAATTCTCTCACCCTCCTGCACTTCTGACTGTACCCAGTGCTTATATAAATAAATAAATAAATCTTTATAAATAAATAAATAAATAAATAAATAAAACATTTCAAGAATAACATGCTTATTCTTGACTTTGCTACACATAATTTGGACAGTTTATTGAACAGTTAGGTGCTCAAAGTTATACTGAAGGGAGACTTTCCAAAACAATTACAAATAAATTCTGCTGTTTTGACAGGTAAGGAGAATTCATTTCCTCAATACGGAATGTTTAATTTGCTATTGGCACATGTGTACAAACTCCTTTTGGAAATACATACATGTATTTCTTTTAACAATAATTCTCATCTTAAAACTATTGTCAGTTTTGTGGCCATTCTGCAACTGAAGGACTATTTGCAAACTTGTGTGTTATGCTTATATTTGTCATTCAAAGTTTTGCACTCTTTTTGCACCTAAATTTAATGAGACTTATCCTCACCTTTAAGGATGTTCACAATCTATGACTTTGGGTTAGAGGACCATAAGGGAAAATACAGATGAAGAATTTAGCCTAAAATATTATTTGCATTTTAGTTATTATAGAAAAATATTGGAGACAAGTTAGCCTAACAATAAGGATTTGGTGAGTTGGTTTTACTAGATTATTTTAATAGGATTAATTAAGCTAATGTTTTTAAAGATGATGAATAACATTTTGGAAATGTTTATACCCTAGGTACAGCTGGAGCTCTACCTGTATTGCTACAAGCACATCCATGGGAAGAGAAACATTCACGAGTGCCAGCAGTGGCTTGTTGTGAATTACAGGACATGATGATCACCAAATCATTATTCTTCATGATTTCCATGTCTACCAAATGATTCTTTTTGTAGTTAGTACATGCACATTTTATTTCCAGAAGAAGCTAAGTATTCTTGAAAGAACCATAACCAGGCTTCATTAGCACCATTAGGATAGTTTTCTGATATCCAAATGTTTCTATAAATCTGAAAATAAGCTATCCACATCTATGCTTAAAATTTTTCTGTTTTGTTTACAATGGACCCAAGCAGACACCAGTTGATAACAAGGGAAGGTCAACACCAAGAAACATGTTGACTTTTGCTCTGCCTTGGAAGGTTTTCAAGTCTTGCTGACATCTGGGTGATAATCAAAGAGTTCAGTCCCCTCTCTACAGTCAAATCCTACCTGAAGCAAACTGGAATGGTCACCTCCTTCACCTGGAGTTTGGACCTTTTTCTATTTGGTCTCCATTGTTATGTAAGATCCCAAGACTTGGCTGAAGGCAAGTTTTTATTGTACATGCAACTACAAGTACTCAAATCACTTAAAGCTTTCCCACCAATCTCACCAGTAAATCTTATAACCACTGAACTCTAAGATGAAAAAGACTCAGAGAGCCTCTGGCCCAGCTGTTCATTACATTGATGAGAAAACGTGTGTATGAAGTTTGAAAAGTTGCCTCAAGTCAAACAGTTTACAGAGACAGCAATAGGTCTCCTATTGCCTAGACTCCTGCTTTTTCTATCTGTAAACACTATTTCACTTCTATGTTTATGTATTTTTTATTTTTTTTAAAGAATTTGTGGGCATTTTTCAGATTCACCACAGAGAATGTAGGAGGCAGTGGGTCTGTGAAGATGAAGATTTTGTTTTTTGTTTTTGTTGTTGTTGTTGTTTTAAAGATTTTATTTATTTATTTATTTATACAAGCACTGGGTACAGTCAGAAGCACAGGAGGGTGAGAGAATTCACCAGAGTCAAAGGGGAGAACAGAGCAGACAGAATGACGAAGTACACTGCTGAGGGGAGCAGCGGGCGGCAGGAGAGGTCTGCGCACCATGTGGGACCCTCGCCCGGTGGCCGGGGATCGAACCAGTGCTGCAGAGGCTGCAGGCAGCTTCGCAACCCAGCGCTCAACTGCTGCACCACTGGGGAGGCCCTGTTTATGTATTTTTTAAAGATTTATTTATTTTATGGATATAAGAACTGGGGTACAGGCCAGGAGTGTGGCGGGGTGAGAGGATTCACCAGAGACAGAGTAGGGAAAAGAACAGGCAGACTGACTGAGATACACTGCTGAGGGGAGCAGCGTGCAAGACAGGAAAGGTCTGCTGTGCCATGTGGGTAGCTCCCTGGCCGGCCAGGGATCGAACTCATGCTGCAGAGGCTGTGAGTAGCTTCATAGTGCTGTGCTTAACCCCTTGTGCCACTATGGAGAACCTATGTTTATATTTTAAGCACAACTGTGAATCACAAGAGGGGTAGCTTTATTTTTAGATTTCTAGGGGCAAATTCAAACAATTTAAAATTAGATTTTAATTATTTATTTCAGAAGGAAATCTGTTGATGAAAATATTGTCAAGCTGAGTTTTGAATATTTCTTTAAAATAAAAACAACTTTTTTCTTGCTAGTAGAATTATTCTATCATTTGCCATCCCCACTTAGCTTTTATATTTCAAATATCAATTTCAGGGCCTCCCTGGTGGCCTGGGGGTTAAGTATCAGCACTATCAACCGTAAGGCCTGAGTTCAATCTCCAGCCAGGAAGGTGACACACATATGGCACAGCAGACCTCTCCTGTCTCAGCTGCTGCTCCCCTCAGCAGTGTATTTCAGTAAAATCTGTCTGTTCTGCTCCTCACTCTGTCTCTGGTGAATCCTCTTACCCCCTGCACCTCTGGCCTACACCCCAGTTCTTTTACCCCCCAAAAAATAATCAAATACCAATTTTAATTATTATAACTAAATTCAGTGATGAATTTCCTTGTTTCCTTTGATAAGACAAATATAGAAATCAAGAGCACATTCCAAGCCATTCTCAACTAGGGTCTTTCTGTGGCAC